GCCTTCGCTACTCTACCCACACCAGAGGTCGGGGTCACCTTCAGAAACACATGCTCCCCTTCAGCAAACTCCAAAGGCTTACGCCTTTTATCAACATATGACTTCTGCCTATTTCGAGCAGTCTTCATCCTCTCTTGAATCAGCTTCACCTCCTCACTAGTTTGTAAGATTAGCTCCGGTCCCACAACCACTGACTCACCATCTTGATACCAACACAGAGGAGTCCTACATCTTCTGCCATATAAGGCTTCAAACGGCTCCAACCCAATACTAGCATGAAAGCAATTATTATACGCGAACTCAACCATCGGTAGGACCTCCTCCCAGCTCAAACCAACAGCCTTAATTCTCAGTTCCCAGCAAACCAAGAAGTTTCACCAACTCCACATCTTACAACTGCTTCTGCCCAACCTGCCTCAAGAACTCACTAGTTATGGTAATCATCCCATAATTAATTGATCTTGAGTTAACTCCACATAGAGATTCAAATCCCTGAACTCCTCAACCAGCTCCAGCTCTTTCTCCATCATACAAGACATGTGGATGGATTTCCTACTCAGTGCATCAGCCACAACATTGGCTTTCCCAGGATGATACATCAACGGGAAGTCATAATCCTTCAGAAATTCCATCCACCGCCTCTATCTCATGTTCAACTCCTTCTGATCAAACAAGTACTTAAGACTCTTGTGATAACTGAAGAAAATGAAACGAGCAAAATAAAGATAATGAATCCATATCTTCAAGGTAAAAACAACCGCTGCCAACTCAGTTGCCTTGAAGCATATGTCACTACTTTTTTATTTTGCATCAGCACGCACCCTAGACCCTGGTGAGAAGCATCGCAGTACACATCAAAAGGTTCACCAGAATCCGGCAACACCAGCACAGGAGAAGAAGTCAACCTCCTCTTCACCTCATCAAACTCCGCTCACAGGCACCTGTCCAAATGAACGGCTGCTCCTTCCTTGTCAACTGGGTTAGAGGCGCTACTATCATGGAGAATTCCTCAACGAACCTTCGATAGTAACCCACTAAACCCACAAAGCTCCGAATATCCGTGACAGTCCTTGGACGTCCCCACTACAACACCGACTCCACTTTAGCCAGATCAACAGCAATCCCCTCAACTGAGATCACATGGCCCAAGAACATCACCTCACTCAACCAGAACTCACATTTTGAAATCTTAGCATACAAGATATAGAATACTCTCCATGCTCTCCGGGGTCCTTGAATAAATCAAGATATCATCAATGAACACCACAACGAATTTATCCAAGAACGGCCGAAAGATCCTGTTCATGTAATCCATGAACACAGCAGGGGTGTTGGTCACGCCAAACAGCATCACAACATACTCGTAGTGACCATACCTAGTCCTGAAAGCAGTCTTCGGTATGTCACCCTCCTTCGCCCTTATCTGGTGATATCCTGACCTTAAGTCAATCTTCGAGAAAATGGATGCTCCCTTCATTTGATCCATCAAGTCATCTATCCGGAGAAGTGAATATTTATTCTTAATGGTCAACTTGCTCTACTGCCAGAAATCAACACACAATCGTCTACCTCCAACTTTCTTCTTCACTAACAACACGGGAGTACCCCACAGCGATACATTCGGTCACACCAACTGCTTCTCTAACAGGTTCTCCAACTAACCTTTCAGCTCAACCAGCTCAGCAGGAGCCATCCCATAGGGAGCCACCAACACTGGTCCTGCACCTGGAACCAAGTCAATGCTAAACTCCATCTCCCTAACAGGAGGGAATCCAGGCACCTCATCAGGGAACACCTCAGCAAAACCTCTCACCACATCAATCTCAACAATGACCCTCTTGATCTCCACACTCATAGCAGCAAGCAGAAGACAACACTCTGCTCCATCCCTCAATAATGATTCAGCTTGACCAGCTGAAATCAATAGCTCCTCCTCCACCTGAGGAAAGATCAACTGCTTATTAGCACAATCTTTAAGGATGCGATTGGCAGACAACCAATCCATCCCTAAAACTATGTCAATATTCACCCAAGGTAAACAGATCAAGTTCACCTTGTACCCCTCCACCAACGCTCAACCTCCCCAACCAGCATGTAGACAGCATATGAAAGTCTCCTCTCTTGAGAACATCCCAGCACAGTGAAGATCTTCTCCATCTCACAGATCTAGTGGTCAGCTACCTCTAGGTCTACATCTCCCTTGAACTGAGGAGGACGGCATTTCCGGAACTCAGCTAGATCCTAACTCTCCTACGACCCCAAGGGCCTTGCTGCACCAGCTGCAGCTCTATCAGCGTCCATCCTAGGAAAATAAGAATTTTCCTGCTGCATAGCCATAGCCATCATCTCTATGGCACGGGCTATCAACTCATTGGTTATAGTCATTGTCTACAGAAGTAACAACATCTTCAGTATACAATAACTAAACCAAACAACCATCAACAGCACAACAATCAACACCACAGCAAAACAACACAACAATCAACACGGCAAACAACACAACAAGACTACAAGAAGTTAGCACAACACAGAGTTCAGCACAACAAAAGCCTAAAGGAACCACCCCCAAAGAGTGCCCATTAAACTCGAACTGCTCTAATACCACTAAAGTGTAACGACCCGGCTGGTCACTACACACTACACCGTACACTTGAAACCGGACAGAAAAGAACAAGTGTATACATATAGTGTCTAGAATATACATATATACATGTCCAAGTCTGACTAGATTCAAAATGTACAAAAATACATCCAGAGTCACTACACCAAGTAGCTAAAACACCAAAACGTCCATAAGAAATAAGCTCTATCTGCCAGCTGCAGACCTGCCACAAGCCACCAACCTATCCCTGCTCTGCTCCCATACATAGTATGATCATCGCAGTCCAAACCACATGGAAACAACAAGGGTAAGCTAGTGAAAGAAACAACATACATATACATAAATTTAAGAATAGTAAACAGCTACAGCTATCAGAACATCAATTAGCTTAACAACATCAGCTATATATATATATATTTATAACATCACACATCTCACATCATTCAACAATAACAACAGTACACATCGATAAATAGTAGTAAACACACAATGCGTCGTCACGCATATCTGCTCGGAGATCTCCTACAACAGCTCAGCCTTACGGCCTACAACAGCTCCTATCAGCACGGAGCACAACACCGACTTAGCGGCTATAACAACACCACAATAGTGGCTAACAGCACCGACATAGCGGCTATAACAGCACCACAATAGTGGCTAAACACAACATACA